TCAGAGGTGAAGCTGTAACTTTAAGGACAGAGGAGTTTACGCTTCTTTGCGGTTTCTCGGTAACGTGCGTAAACAAGCTGCGATTTTTTTGTCTTATTAACTTGAAGAGAGAGAATAAAGAGAGGCTGGTGAGGGAACGAGTGTTTATAGCTGCTATAACGTAAGCGACAACAGGAACGAACTGGTTTCAGTGAATATTAAATGTAACTATAAGCAGATAAACAAATGCAACGTGTCGTTGTTTGATTAATAATGACAAAAAAAAATAAAAAGAAAAAGCAGTTTGTTGAAGCTTATTATTATTTTAGGAAAAGAGAAACGATCACGTGACATTTTCCACGTTTTTAATCTTCACAGTAATGAAATAGTAAAGAGATCACGTCACGTACGGCAGTCACGTGCAGTTTTAAAGAGGACAAGGGGCACAATTATATTTGAAAATAGAATAATAAATCACTCTAAACAGCAGCAGCATCTCTGATTATTAAAAACATCAAATCTCATCATTACACAAGTGAATCACCGAGTTACAAAAATACAACTTTGTTTTGTTTTTGTTTTTTTTCTCCATTTTCTCCGCTGGTTAATTTAATGATGATGATGATGATGATGATGATGATGTGATTAAGTAATCCACTTAATTTTACAAACATAGATAATTGATAATCATTGTTGAAGAATATTGCCTGGGAGTGTGTGTGTGTGTGTGTGTGTGTGTGTGTGTGTGTGTGTACGCACTATACTCATACACTGTACACTACATAGCTGACTATCTAGTACTTGGATATTTATAGAGTAACGCTCGCTATGTTCCCTTACAGGAAATGACATCATATTTTCTGAAAGAACTGCGGACGAACTCTCAGCCAACTCCGTCTACAAGCGTCAGTAGCTTGTTTTCGTTGTTGTGGCTCTCAGATGATTACTTACGTTGGAGATTTTTAACTTTATTTGACCTTCTGTATACGGTGTGTTTGAGTCTAACGACTTTTACGTGTTTAATGATTTAATAAATCCGCTAGCGAGCCTACGATCCTGTCTGAAGCCCCGTGACAGAAACGTGCGATTAAGCTAATAAATTTATACGACGTATAACGTGAGAAAGATATCGGTGCTGCCTGTTGGTGATAAACGCCAGTGGTGACGTTTTACAACGCGAGTACGTCGTCATGGCGACGGAAATTGAGTCATCAACGTCACAATGTGTAGTGAGCCAGGGTCCTAGTGCCCGAACTCACATACGCGATATACTGATTCACCACCGGGGGAGCTAGCGAGCTGATTGAGACGCACCCTGTGTGAAGTACGTGATTTTAGACATAGCTTACAGATACAGGACGAGAGTTTCTTCATAAATATTAGAAATAATAATAATAATAATAATAATAATAATAATAATAAATCATAGAATTGAAATGAGTTTCAAACCAAAGACTCTAACTGGTCATGCTAACATGGCTAACAACGAATGGAAGCTGGTAGAAACCAATTAGCATGACTCTTACGACTGCGTGTCCGTTATGCTAACTGGCTGAACCAGAATTAGCAAATTTCCCCAAAAAAAAGTTTCAAAACAAAATGGCCATCATCTTTCTTCCCACTAAGTGCATTTTTAAAGTGGTTCATTTTTCCCCAGTGTGTGTGTGTGTGTGTGTGTGTGTGTACAAAAGAGGCACGTTTGTTCATTTACGTTTCCAAATCTTTCCGTCTTTCCTTCGTCTTCAGGAATATAAAAAATGGAAGACGCCATTCACGCACACTCTTTCTTCACAAACTTGCCAGGAGTGCATTTCCGAAGTGCTTTTTTTTTCCGATCGTGGAGAAATAGTTGTGTGTGACAGGGGGCGGAGCCAGGACCTGTCACTCAGGAATAAGTGATGGATGAACAATGAGGAAGTTGAATGAGAGAAGCGAAGTGTCCATTGCTGTCTGTTTAGTCCTCTCTCTCTCTCTCTCTCTCTCTCTCTCTCTCTCTCTCACTGTTTCATCTGTCCATCACTGCAGCTCGGTTCGGGTTTTAGCCGAAGTCGATGCGAGGACGATACTCGAGAACCATGGGGTACTCCTGAGGAGAGAAAACACACTTAAAGCACACAGTTTGCATCCCATCAGCTCCATAAAGTATGAAAGAAAACTCCATTTCCGTAAACATGAACCATCATGGCTTGTTTCATCCAATCACATTCATTTATGTAAATGATTTAGCTAAAGGCAGCTCATCGGATCAGTGGCTACAGAGAGAGCTAAAGAGGTTAGAAAGGGACGTTTTTGATGAAAACAGAATGTTTAAAGACATGTGGACAGAGACGTGAGTTTATGCTGCATTCTAATCGACTCAGAAGTCGGAGTTCGTAAGTTATAAAGCTTCAGAACCACAGACGTCACCATGTTCGGCTTTTGTTAGCAACATGCTAGCCAGCTAACTGTGATGACTGATGTACTGTATATTTACCTCAGAGAAGTGAACTGTAGAGTCAGAGTTCCAGATTTACCACGTGAAAGTGTAGCTTATTTAAAGGTAAGAAGTGCTGCTGTGTTTACTGCTGACGCCGCGAGCGGCCATGTCGATTCGGCGTCGCTCGTTAAACTCAGCGTTCTCGAGTAGTTTTTTTTCTCTAGGCGTTATGACCTTTAGTTTTAACAAAACGCAGCATTATTCTCTGCTCAAAGTTAAAAGATAAAAAACTCTCATCAGTTCAGAGTAGAGGAGTACGTTGGGACGAAAACATCGCAGGAGTGTGTGGTTTTTACTTTAATACAACGAACTCATCGTATTGATTCATCTTCAGTAACGTGTGTGTTTGTGAAATGAGGATTTACTGTCAGGAATTCCCTCTCAGCACCAACAGCACTGGTCTCGTCTGTTCATTAGCCGCGTGCGTTTAGTTTAGATTTCTGTCTTATCTCCAGCTCTGTCTTCTGATTGGTTTGCAAAAATAAAAATGGCCCAAGCCCAAAATGACAAAATATGAAGCTTTTAATGGTCTTAACAACAAATCAGGAATCATTCACTGGTCAGGAAATGAGCAGGAATGAAACAGATGGAAAACAGATATAAGTTTTTACGCACTTGTGTCGTGACTCTTACCGCACATTTCATTTATATTTTGGGAAACAGAACCCTAAGAACCTTTTTTTAGAACCGTTAAAAAAAAGCAGATATCATGTTAAGATCTCGTGTTTGCTAGAAGATATGGTGAGCAGGTGCAAACACGAATCTTAACTGCTCGCTCTGGAGCTAGGCTTATTCTCGGAATTGCTCACCGGTAAACCAGAGCTATTCATACTGCGAGGAACTGAAGGTGAGATGGAAAATACCACAAAATATTTAAACAATCATTTCAGACCTTTTCACAATTCGTGTAGGAGTTCCACAATTCATAGTTCATTAATGTATCTGTCCAACTTACACCCTCTGGCCAAAAGTATGTGCACCCCTGACCATCACACCCATATGTGCTTCTTCTCCAAACTGCTACCACAAAGCAGGAAGCACACAGTTGTATAGAGCGTCTCTGTGTGCTTCACTGGAACTCAGAGGCCCAAACCTGCTCCAGCATGACGATGCCCCTGTGCACAAAGCGAGCTCCATGAAGACATGGTGTGTGAAGGTTGGAGTGGAAGAACTCGAGTGTCCTGCACAGAGCCCTGACCTCAACCCCACTGAACACCGACTGCACCCCAGACCTCCTCGACATCCCAACATCAGCGCCTGATCTCA